TGGTTCGATGACAACACTGGAGACGTTTTATTTTCAGTGTTCGCTAGGTCCCTTCCACTGCACCACTGAACTCTCGACGTGCCACAGCGCATCGTCGCTGTCAGACGAACACAGAGAAGCTCCACCCGCTTTATTTATATGGCTATGGAACACTGTAACCTTCCACACAAAATAGTTCCAAACAAGTAACAATCGCGTCAGTGGCATACATCGTATTCGACAGGCTACCTGCTCTTTATTCACCAGAGGCTCATCAACCGAGTCTCTTATTTCTCTCCTGAAACAGTGTCTTCTCCCGCTTGGTGTACCTTTGCCTTGTCCGCTACGTACAATTTCTGTCCATAGCTTGTAATGGAGGCTCTCGCTGGCCATCCATAATGGAGTCGTGAGATGCAATGCGAATGATTTCAGCTTGAGTCTAGCTGTGGACAATGTTGACAGGCTTGCATGCAGTAGCCATACATTTAGCTATGGCTTCAGCAAATTTGGTCTTCGTTGTGCTTGGCCATTAAGTGGTATTTCAGACTCGACGTGCTATGATGATAGCTCAGTTTACGACTGCAAAACATACAGGTAACTTTGGTCTTGTCAGTGGAACAATCTGGCAACTTTTTAAAAGTAAACTTTCCATTCATAAACTCTTAAAGTATCCGTTTTCGGTGTTTCGCGCGTGCGTGGACCTGTGCAGCGCGCTTGTTGTTTTGTTTCTGGTTTATGTGCCGCGTTAATCTCGCGAGAAAAAATTTTATCCTGTTAAAATTCCTTTAAATTGCCAATAAAATGCCAAAAAAAAAATAAAAACGCGCTAAACTGACAGCTCTAATAATATATGGCTCTCACTGAAATACATTTCCAAATATTTTGCTTTCATGGCTCTCTTCGTCAAAAAGGTTCCCAACCCCTGTGCTAGACAATGACAGTTCAAGTTGATGAGTTGCCTATTGTGCCATTTGGCTTTAACACGGACACCTTGCTGCATTCAACACAGGTGGGTTCTCACTCCACACCAGCAGTTATGCCTCAAGCGTGGGAAAATATTTTCCTAAAAATGCAATCAGTTGCAAAGCGACTTACAAAATACAAAAGGGCCTGCGTGGGTTTTCTCCGGGTACTCCGGTTTCCTCCCACATTCCAAAAACATGCATGGCAGGCTGATTGAACACTCTAAATTGTCCCTAGGTGTGAGTGTGAGCGCGGATGGTTGTTCGTCTCTGAATGCCCTGCGATTGGCTGGCAACCGGTTCAGGGTGTCCCCCACCTACTGCCCGGAGATGGCTGGGATAGGCTACTCCGAAACCCACAGTCACGGTTGAGCACGAAACAACTAGTAGCTCAGTGTTCCAACATCCACAAACGGCAATTGCTATCACAACTTGATGAGGTACAACACGGATTCCATGGTGAAGGGCCCCAGGCTGCCAGATCAGAGAAAGTTATAGCAGAGATTTGGAGGCAAGCCTCAATGAATGCAGATAAAGAGATTGTGAGGCCAGCCCCAATGAATGAAAAGCTGCGCAAGGCAGCAACTGACCTGAAAGCTAAGATCATGGCGAGAATGAAGGCTGGGCAACCTAGAAACCGATTACGACGGCGATGTGAAGTACCACCTGAAATTCTCATGGAAACAGTGAATGCAGCACTGAGGGCCGTAGCGATCACGGAAACCAATGAGCTGATATACGCTTCAGTGTCAGTGACCTTAGAGATGCTTGGCTATAAGAGCAACCATGGGAGCCATGAGATACTGTCAAGATCATTGGTCAAGTAACATTTATGCACTTACACAAAAGATGAGAGAAGACGTCTGTATGTTGTTTTCGCTTGCAAGGAGAATAGGACTGCGCACATACAATTCCCACAGCTATACTAAGCAGCCTCTCCTAAACCCTCTCTTTTTATTCATTTTGGTATCAGGTTGATCAGAGGAAAGTACACTCACGATGTTTGTGGAAAATTCCAACAAGGACATAAAAGCACAGTCAGTCTAGCAGAATACGCACTTCTCTCTTGGATCTTCTTATCTTCGGTGACCAGCTGGGAGATGGTGTATAATAAAGCATGATAATAAATGTTTTACCAACAATTATTCTTTCAGATATGTGACCCACCATGGAAAAGACGGTTGGAGGCTAAGATCAAGGCGGCTCGGAAAGATGTGAGTCAATTGACGGAGGCCCAGAGAGGTGTGATGAA